AACTGGCCCCTTCAGGTTTGGTGACAAGGCTAAGAATCCCAGGAATGACTCAATTCTATCTGAGCCACAAAGCCCAGTCCAGGCCTATATCAGGAGCTGTGTAGTGGCTGGTGGCTAGAAGGAGACAAACCTTCCACAACTTACACAGAGAGTTCAGGTCCATCAGCTTGAAGCGAGGGACTACTGTGCTCATTTCACAGATGTGGTACCAGCAACCCAGAGAGTGCAGGGTCCCTGTTCATCCTCACATACTCAAGAGGTACTGGATCCACTGCCTAACATCCTCTATGAAGGCCTGGATGGTCCCCATGCCACAGAGATGAGCCATGGAAGCCAGCCTTGCCTCCTTTCCCCTGATCACAGTCCCATTCCCTAGCTGCCCCTGGTGCCAGGCCAGCCTCTCCAGGGCCCACCCTGACCAATCTTCCAGTCTTCTCTACCACATTAGACCTGTGGATAGGGAGCCTGGGCAGCTCAGGTCTCCAGATGAAGGGGGGTTCCGTACCCCCTACCCCAACCTCTCAGAGCAGATGTATTCAAAGCAATCTACCATGCACCTCAAATTTCCTCCAGCTCCTGCCCATTTCCAAAGCCACTTCTATTTTTATGTATTTGTGACAACAGCACTTCACTTCAAGTACCAAAATCTGTACTAGTTTCCTACTGCTGCTGTAACATATCACCACAAATCTGGTAGCTTAAAACAACACAAATTTATTATTTTATAGCTCCAGAGGTCAGAAATCCAAAATTAGTTTTACTAGGCAAAAATCAAGGTGCTGGCAGGATTCTATTCTTTCTTGAGGCTCTAGGGGAGAATCCATTTCCTCGCCCTTGCCAGCGTCTAGAGGCTGTCTGCATTCCTTGGCTCATGGCCCTTTTCTCCAGCACACTGCCTCCCTGTGACCTCTGCTTCCCTTGCATCTCCTCCCCCGCCCCTGTCTTATAAGGACCGTTATTGATTACACTGAGCCCATCTGAATAATCCAGGATAACCCATTAGCCCATTCAAGATCCTTAACTTAATCACACCTGCAGTTTCTTTTGCCATGTGATGTAACATATCCACAGGTTTGGGGGATTAGGACACAGGCACCTTAGGGGCCATTTTTCTGTCTGCCCCAGGAGGGGTAAGGTTGCTTTGCCAATCCCAACCCCCATCCAGAGTCCTAGTCCAGGACTGAGGAGTCCTGACAGGGGATCAGGCCGGTGTTCTGGCAAAGACTCTGGGTGGGGGCTGGCCAGGGCCCAGAGCTCCAGGAAACCTGGTGCCTATCCCTGTTGCCGCCAAGGACAGCTTGTACTCCTGGCGCAGCCGCTGTGCACAGATCAGGTGCACTTGAGCCCATTAGCATCCATGGTTCAACTCGGACAGCTGCCTAGCTCGGATGGGAGGCCGGGCCATCATAGCTTCTTCTCTCCCTACTGACTAGAATATGCAAAAGCAGCTGTCAGATCAGACAAGAGCCACACAGGAAGTTCTGGCTCTATTCTAGAAAATACACACATTGTTGGTTTATGAGTGGACATTACTGACCTTAGGGTATGCCAGACCCATGTGGGGCACCAGAGAGATGAGGGAGACAGGAACGTTTCCAAATGCATGGGGCAGAATGTCATCGGCGCTGGCAGAAGTTCGGGCTAGCAGCATGGTATGTAAGAGGGAGGACAGAGGGGTCAGGGCGGGTGTCCTGGAGGAGGCAGCATTTATGTTGGAGCTTGAAGAAGGGATCATCTGGACTGGCAGTGGTGGGCAAGGCATTCCTGATGGGAGACACTGCCTGGGCGAAGGGAAGGAGGTATGTTTAGGGAATGGAGAGTTCTGTGAGGAAGCTGCAATCCAGGGCAGTGAACAAAAGAATCCAAACACGGACAGGGAAGGACATGCTGGCCTGAAAAGGTTAAAGCAGTTCTCAAAGCCTGTCAGCACTGGAACACTTTGTTCTGATGGAAGCATACTCAGAGCACTGATGGGATTCTGAACAGGGTCCACACAGGGTCTTTCCCACAGCCATCACCCCCTGACCCCACCTCTTCAAGTCCTGGCCTCTGCAGGACACAGTGACCACACTCAAGTCATGAGGAGACAGTCAAGGGTTTAGGGCAGGGATTGGCAGCAGTCAATGGCCCAGGGTCCAGGTACAGGGTTGTGGTAGAAAAGGGTTTAGGGGTAAGGCACCTGGGGTGGCTCAGTCAGTTAGGCATCCGACTTCGCCTCAGGTCATGATCTCACAGTCTGTGAGTTCGAGCCCCGTGTTGGGCTCTGTGCTAACAGCTCAGGCCTGGAGCCTGCTTCGGATTCTGTGCCTCCTTCTCTCTCTGCCCCTCCCCCACTTGCTCTCTCTTAAAAATAAACAAACATTTTTTTAAAAAACTTTAAAAATTTTTATAAAAAGGCTTGATGGGTTTAGAGGTACATTTCAATAGGGCAGCTAGATGGGCCCCATGGAGAAACCCAGGGGCAGCTAGAACAAGCATCCAACTATGAGACAAAATCTTAGTTTCTTCAACTGTCAGCAGATGGGATGGAACTGCTTTCTGAGTACATCAGTCAAGGACTCCTACACCTACTTAGGGTCTGGCTGAAGGAAGCTAGGAGGGCAGTAGGCACATTCCTCAAGACCTCACGGGGTCTCAAGAGCCTAAACTCTACCATCAGTTCCATAACACATGCTGGGCGCAGGGCGGGGAGAGGGCAACTCATGTCTTGCTCTGGCCCCAGGAAAGAGGGAGGAAATAGGGCAGGTAAGCCTGGCTTTCCTGGGCACAGCCACTAGCTGTTTTGGCCTGGACCTCAGGGCATTAATGCCCTGGTGAGGAGGGAGAGGAGGTGCTGAGGGATATCTGGGCAGCCAGGCTACCAGCCTCTTGGGGGCTCTGTCTCCAGAGAGCAGGTAAATGTCAAGAGCCCAAGAGTGAAATCCTTGCCTTCCCTCCTTTCTAAACTGCCCTGTCTCTGCCTGCTTTGTTTTGGTGTCAAGCACCAGACAGATGCATAAGGGTACAGGCCCTCCCTGTGTCTCCTTACGTGTCTTCTCTCTAGAGCAAGCAGTGAAAGCACAATGCCCCATGAAAGGTACATCCCACAGACCCCTCAGAACCATCCTATGAGATAAAGCACAGGGTTCCACTTATCAAGTATGAAAGCCAAGGCTGAGGGAGGTGAAGTCATCTGCCCAAGGTCATATCCTGGTGAGCACAGATGCCAAGATCTGAACTCAAGCTGGTGTAGCTCCAACATCAGAGCTCAATGTCCAAGGCCCAATCAAGCCAGTAGCTGCAGGCTTGAGGCCCGGCCTGCCAGTTCACTTGGCCTGCATCTCTTTATCAGAGGAGTCAAGCTTCATGTTTTTCTAGGAAGGGTTGTCCCCAAAGGTTGCTCCTGGTTCTGTGACCCCAGCTGCCCCTACACTGTCACTCCCATCATTACGTTCTCTTAGGGTGCCATATCCACATGCTTGCCAAGACCTTTCCTCAGTGATGGGTCCAAGGCCAGGAGGGTGAAACCATCAAGGAAGCCATTACTGGCTGAGGTGTGGTCCAGGCTGTGGGACAAGGGGACAGGTTGCCCTAAGATACAGCTGAAGACAGCAGGAGCTGAAGGGCACAGGCAGGAGTAGATGGGCAATACTGGTAAGGACCTAGGTGGGCAAAGGTTGGAGAGCACAAGGGGGCTCAGAAAGCTAGGAGCCTCTCTCTGGCTGTGCCCTACCCTCCCAAGTTCTTTCCAGACAGCCATGATGGGGAGTCCCTACCCCTCCTCAAAGGAAGTCGGGAGCAGCATGGAGTCCATGCAGCTGGCATTGGGCAAGGAGCAGGACACAGGAGTCCTAGGAGCTGCAGTGTGGCCCTTGCTAAGGCAGATGTGAGCCTCAGCCACAGTAGGGGAAGGAGTGGGTCACCCAAGCCAGGTATGAGCCCAGCAATACAGACTCTCCAAAGGCAGGGACCTAACTTCCCATCTCCACTTGGCTACCTCCCACCATGGCATGTTAGGCAGGCCACATCTTCTCTTGGGGAGTCCCTTCTGGAGGAGTGAGCACTCAGATACCAGCTCACATCCCACCTGGCTGACTGAGAATAAAATGAGGCTGCCACCTAACACTGGCCTTGGAGCCAGAAGAGCCAGTTCCTTGCAGGGAAAAGAGCTACCCAAGGTCCCGGTGCAAGACACAGCCCTGGAACCTGAATCCTAGCTCTAGCAGAGGATGCTGCCCACCAGACCATACTGCCTCTGGCCACCGCACCACCAGGTCAGGCCCTTGAAAGTGCCAGTGGGCTGAGCCAGCTTGGTCTGGCATGTTCCTCAGGACCCGCTCTGATGTAGAGTCACACCAGCACTTGCCAACCTGGAGGTTTCCTGTCACTGTGGACAGAAGGGGTGGGCTTTCAGGCCTCCTAGTGGCCACAAATTTGCACAGACCAGAGCTCAGGTGGAGGTCATAACCTGCTACCTGCTCTGTCTGGGCTTCTTACTCTCCCCAGCTCCAACCAGGGACAGATGGGTTACCTGAAACTGCAAGGTCAACTTGGAAGGAATGTTTTAGCCAAAAGCTATGAGAATAAATAGTAAACATAAACGCTGATTACTCCTTACTGGCTCAAGCCCTCAGTGAAATAAATGTGGACAGGTGACACCAGCATGGTGCACGAAAGACCCTCAGCCTGATCTCCTCCAGCAAGCAGGCAGCCAGCTCTAAGTTGAAGTTCATATGACGCACCTGTGCTCAGAGCCTAGCCCCAGTCAGAATGTGTGAGAATGTACCTAGGGCAGTTGAGGGCTAGGTCGAACCCTAAGAGTGAGCTGATCAGTCCCAAGCCCCTGGCATCCAAGGCCAAGAGGATCACCCATGTGCCTTTCTCCACACTGCACTTTCACACTCCCACCAGGTGGGAGACTGGTGGCTAGTCTTGCTGGGGCAGAAGGAAGCTCTTACCTCCAGCACTGCCTGGGCACAAGGGGCCAGGGGACCCACAAATCACAATACCAAAACATTAGATGACTACTTGTTGGTCTCTCGACACTTTATTGGCCCTATCTCCCAACATCCCCAAGGTAATTCCACCCACAGACACATTGAGCAACCTATCCTTGGCCACACTGATATGATGGAGCCCAGAATGGGAACCTAGGTCTGCTCAGTTCTGAGGAAACTATGGATGCCATTGTTCTTTGCCACCACAAGAAGGACATCCCACCCTTGCTTCTATCCCCAAGTCTCCTAGAAATGTGGAGCATGGGTAATCACAGAGCCATAGGAAATATCATAAGTATCTGGGTTCAGGAAGGTGCCATCACCTCCCTCCAAGCATTCCAGGAAGAAGGATCAGCCAGCCACTCTGGCAGGCTGGGGCCCCGGCATGGCTTCCGCAGGCCAGCCACGCTGTGGCCCAGACCTCCGGATATGCAGGAACCTGGGCCTAAAGAGACAGGGACAAGAGGTCAATTATTGCCTGGATCCCACGGGATGAGCAGAGCATGGGAATAGCATGCTCTCCCTACAGCCAGAGCTGTGGATGGCCTGAGTGGAAGGACCAGTGTGGCTATGGAGGCAGGGGTGGGGCAGGTAGAGCTCACCTCCCACAGAAGTCCTTGCGCACAGCCACAAGATCAAGGGACAGGTCAGGTCGGCTCTGAAGCCAGCTGCCAACAAGCTCTGGATGTCTTGGTTCCACTTCCAAGAAGATGCTCCTACATGAGGGAGAAATGGGTCAGCTCAACCAGGCAGGGCTAGGACCTGCACTTCTGGGTTGCCTGGACTAGGAGGGGTGGGGGCAGAATGACTGTCAGGGCAGGCCTAGTACACACTGGGACAGATCCAGGAGACCCGCCCTATCCATACCCAGAGTCCTTCAGGAGCCAAGGTGCCAGGGCCAAGATGTGGGTAATGATGTCCATGCCCTCCTCTCCACCATCCAGGGCTAATGGGTCTTCATAGCTGAAGGGAAAACAGTGGAAGGTGAGAGCCTGGGACAAGGGGTAAATTAAGCTGAGCAGGGCCCTCCACAAAAGGAAGATCTGAGGACATAGAGGGAGACCCCAAATGGCAGCTCTGATTCCCCTACTTCCTATAGGCAGCACCCTATCAGGCAATGCTAAGCGTGCTTAGTGAATCCCACTGACTGATAGCGAAGTGAGGCTGTTCCTATGCTTGGGCGGTGGTGGGGGCAGGTAACAGGGGCTGGAGCTGGCTAGACCATTCCTGAGAGTCTGGAAAGAGGGAGCTAGCACCCTGACCCACATTACCACTGCCTCGTTCAAGGGCTTCTGGGCTACCCCTAGTTCTCAGCCCTTGTTTGAGAACAGGATGGCTCACTACAAAGCCTGGAGTAGGGTCTTAGTCCCAGCCTTCCTGCTAAGCCCCTACATGACCTTGGACCAGGCACCTTCCCTCTTCGGGTCTCAGTCTTCTGTAAAATGATGTACCCATTTGAGCACCTTCTGTGTAATATGTTAGTCATTGCTAAGTCCTCCTCATGGCCCTGCAAAGGTCTACCACTCCCCTTTCAAAGGCAGGAAATGAGGCTCAGAGAAGTTTAGTGGTTATCTAATGGTCTTAAGTGAGGGGCGGAAGCTGAATCGAGTAGGTCTATGGGCTCCTGAGTGAGCCTCTCTTTCAACATCACTGCCTCTTTCAGTCCCCTCTCCCTCCCCGGCCCTCCCAATGCTGTAGTTCTTCCAAGGCAGACACATCCCCCAAGGCCTTCTCAGGCCTGGCCTCCCTCCTACCACACCCTGCACCTGCGGATTTCAGGGGCCAGCTGCTCCATGTCTTGCTGGAAGATGTAGGGAGGGTTGCTGATGATCAGGTCCATGGGGCCCCAGGGCAGTAGGTGTGCCCAACTCCCCTCTATGGTCAAAGGGAACACACAGCAGATAACAGGTGGCAACTCTACCTGTCACCATATCCCTTGGGTAGTCCCCCTCCCCAAGCCACACCATGGGCCTATCACTAGACCTGACAACCCAGACTTGCAGATTAGTGCCCAGGGTCTCCAGCCAGCAGCCTGGTCAGGAGTGTGTATACTCTAAGATGGCAACTCTTCACTTGGAATATCCTTGCCTTCTCTCCTTCCTGTCAAAAATCTCAGCTCAAGTGCCACCTTCAGGAAGACCTCTCTGACTGCGCAGTCAATACAAGAGCCTCTGTCCTGTGCAGCCCTACTGGCCATGCCATATGCTGCCCCATAGCCAACATGGACTCAGTGTGTGGAGGGCATGCCTGGTTTGTCAGTCAATTCCTGGCACCTCTGCTTATCAGCTCCATCCAGGTGCCAGGTGCTACACCAGGTGTGTCACACTCGGTGGAGGGTGCATATGAGGCTCGAAGATCTTGTGGATACATAATAAACCGGAACTGCAGCCAGAAACCAGGGACACTCTGCAAAGGTGTGGGTGAGCTATGCTATGCCTGCGCCAGGTAGGGGCAGGGTGGGTAGCCACTAAAGTATTAAAGTATTTTGGTCTTAAAGCTTTTCTCCTGAGCTTCTGCTCATCTCTTGACAACAAGCAAGCCCTAGTTAAACTCACTAGTTATAGGGGTTCAGAAAGTAAGAAAGACCCTGTGGCTGGTCCCTGCATGGGTCAGGTCAGCCCAGGAGGCAGCAGAGACTTGCCTGTCCTCAGCAAGGACTGGTCTAAGATACCCCGTGTGTGTGTGTGTGCGTGTGTGTGTGTGTGTGTCTGTGTGTCTGTGTGTTGGGGAAGCCCTCCATCCATCTCTGCAGAGTGCCTTATCCACCATTCAGCACCTGTGCCCAGGATCCCCACCCCAGGGAACATGGGTAGGGAAGATACCTAAAGTCACATCCAGGGGAATGATCTGAATTCTGTCCAGCAACCGAAGCCTGGAGAGATGGGAAGTGAGGGTGAGCACAGGTGAGGCTCCTACTGGTGGCTACCAGGACTACAAGAATAAACGCTTCTTGGACTGTCAGTTATATGGTACCCATCGTCCTTCATAACCCTGTGGGACCCATGCCAGGCCACCCCTCCCCACCTCCTCTTTCTTAGGAGTAGAAAGCAGACATCAGTGAGTTTGATATCTGAATAGGGATTGAGATCAGGTCCCAAAGTCAGACTTCCCCAACCCTAACCCTCTGTCCTCCCAGCACACCTACCTCTGAGCATTCTCCTGGGTCAGGCAGATGGCAGCTTCTCCTTTATCCACAGCAATGACTCGGCTCTGCCCCAAGAATAAACGATGGGAATGTAGAGAGCAGGGTGCCTGTAGAGGCCAGGGCTGGGGATCAGAGCTCTCCTCCAACCCCTTACCAGAGAGGAGGGAAATACCCAACAGCCATTCCCCTCTCTGTAGCCAGGGTCTGGCCAGAGAGAAGGGGACAAGACTTAGAGGCTATGACCATGATGGGCTGGGGGCAGCCCTGTCTTTCCACATCTGGCCACCTCCTCTCAAGTGCTTCCAGCAGAAATGGGTGGGGAAAGGATCTGTGGGATAGTGAGTGGTAGTCCCAGTCTACTCATGGAGGGGCACAGGGATGCAGAGGGGGCTCACCTGGGGAAGCTGGCTCAGCAGGCTAAGGGAGATGGCTCCCGATCCGCAGCCCACCTCCAGGATGAGGGGGCCACCTTGGGTTCCCACTGCACAGGAACTCTGGGTCACTTCCTCCAGCACCCATTGAACCAGCTCCTGTGAGGCAAAGGGGTCTGGATTAGAATTAGAGACAACCTGGTTCTCCAGGGGGTCTTGGCACAGAGACCCAAGCATGGTTAGCCCCTATGTGAATGTAGAGGGGTGTCTAAAGCTAGACTGAACTTTATGTCAGGCCATGGGCAGGTCACTCTGCCTCTCCATGCCTCAGATTCCCCATCTGTAAAACTGGGCAGGTGAGATAACCCACCTCATCAGAGTGTTGGGGAGATTAAACAGAAATGCATTTGTGAGACATGGGTCCCATTCCTGGTACACGGTAAGTGTTCAATAAACCCCAGCAAGCCCTTTTATAGATAGCCTCCTGTTTAATGCTCATGACAATGCTAAGAACCATGCCTGATGGTCCTTAGCCACTTTCTCTATGACTGGCCCTGCTTCTAGAGCTTTCCCTCCATTAGTTTGTTGGAGCCTCACAACTGGCCCATGAGGAAGGCAAGGCCCAGGGGTCAAGGCCCTTCCTGGAGCCTGGTTTACACTCATGATGGTCAATTATCAGGGGCCAGAGCATCCCCAGCTTCTTTATAGAGCTGAACTTAGGAGGCTCCCAGGGAGGGACAGGGACTTGCCTCCATGGAGGTGGGGCATAGTAGGAGGAACACATTCCTCTCTAAGCCCCATATCCAAAGGGGGCAGTGGCATGCATACATAGGGCATGGGGATAAGTGGGTATGGTGTGGTGGGAGGTGCCTGATTGCACCACACCTGCCTTGGGGGCCCCGGGACACTTCCAGACATTGTTGTTTTGGAAACAGCAGGCTTTCAAGTCTTGTCTGCCCATCTGGCACCTGCAGGGACTGTGCATGGAAACCAATACAGGGTAGAGGTGAGGGTGAAGGGCTGCTGTTGTCCAGTAGCCAACCATTTCTAATGAGCAGTGGAGTGAGGGCCTAAGCAGCCAGGCATGGAACTGGGAAAGGGCAGTGTGCTTCCTTCTCAAAGACAGCCCTTAGGAGAAGTCTCCTACTTGGGACTCCTGGGATCTTAAGCAAGGCTGGCTCAGGGAATGGGCAAAGGGGTCAGCAAGTGGGTGCTCCCTTCATCTATAAAGAGGTCCACCTCTCCAGGAAGGCTTCTTCACCACACCCCTGCCAGGCTCTCTCTACCATAAGTCTACCATGGCTCCTCTCCATGAGTCTAAAGTCCAGGATGCGGTTCGCCTCTCCCACCAGACTGAAGGCTCCATGATGGGAAGACCAGGAATCTAACCTATCACAGTGTGTCCTACAGGCAAAGCCCGACTCTCAGAGGGGCCTTCTGGCTACTTCCCAAGTACTGGGCAAGCCCTCATGGTTGTGGAAAACCATCCTCTAAGCCTCAGACCCCCCAGATCCCCCCAAATCCCCAATATCAACAGTCAAACTCAATGGCTCCAGATCACTTAGACCCATTTGCCATATAAGCTCCTCAGTGCTGAGCTCCAAAAGGCATTTTATCCTTCGAGGCCTCCTAATACCCTGTGCCAAGGGTAGCAAGTTCAAAGCAGAGAGGACTTAGCCAATGGGTCCAACCCTTCCTGTTTCCCTCACTTGCTCCCACCAGTACCAAGCACTACTGGAGAAAGTAGGAGTGCTCGCAGCAACCTGGGCCCACAGCACTGGGACTGCCATAGCGCGAGCAGTCTAGAGCTGTGGTGGAGAGACTGCAGGCTCAGCACTGAGGCCACTTACTGAGCAGCTGGTAGGACAGCTGAGGCTTGTCAGGGGTGTGAACTTCTCTTGGTTTCCTGGCCACAGACAGACCTACTCTGGTTGGAGAATGACCCCTTGGCCAGCCACACTGGCCAGCCGCCTCATAGAGACACCCCTGAACTCAGAGAGACATGTCACATATGAATGGCCACCTCAGGCAGCGTGTGAAGCTGAGAGACTGGGCCCCACTCCCACCAGTGTCCCCTGGACCCTCTATTACACTCCAGACCACTTGAGGACCAACTTGGCTATGGGACCACTGTAGGGGTAGAGACTATATGCAAGAAGCCCAGAAATTTTCCTCCTCACCGAGAGAAGAGCCTCCAGCCTCCAACAGCCTGAAATTGGTGGCTCTTTACAGGAGGCTGAAAGCTGAGCTGTCTCAGACCCAGAGCTCTTCTTCCAGGTCAATAAGGGAAGAATCCAAAACCATGATGGGGTAGGGATAGAAGAGAATGTGGGGAACAGGCAGCTTCCCTCAAGAAGTCAGCCCAAGGCCTCAGCAGGACCTAAATGCTGTGAATACCCTCCATTCAGATGCTCTGAGACAGCAGCCCCATGAAGGTGGCACTGCCTCTCTCAAGCCAATCACAGACAAGGCACTGAGCCTCCCACACCCCACAGAGCCTCACCTTGCCAGGTTCGATATGAATGGCTCACGCTTTCGGCCTTGGGTTTCCCACTGTACACACTGCCAGCCTGGGGACTGAGCCACCTTCCCACCCACGGGGAAAGCCCAACTTATCAAGCCACATGCCACCTACAACTTTGCATTTCTGACTTCTGCCCCCGTCATCAGAAACTGCCCTTCAGTGGATAAAAAGAACACAGGCATCATGAACTCTTCCCTGCACCCATTCTCCCTACTCCCTGCCACAGGCCACGTCCTCTCAAGTTCTTGGTAAAGCACCCCCAATGTGGCTTCACATTGGGGCAAACCTGGCAAGTTCTCAGAAATGTCTGCACAGTAAGGTGAGGACCTGGCCTTCCAACCACAGCCTCCCCCTCTGTTCCCCCCTCCCCCAGCTCCTTGCAACAGAGCTGCTCTCTGGCCCAGACCTGCACAGGAATGGGGGCGGGGGGCGGGGGGGACACCTATGTGAGCCAGAAGTCCACATCCCACATTCAGAACCCTGGAGTATATGGCTGGTGCCAGGTCAACTCTGAGGGGACTCAAAGGTCATCATGGTAGCTTCCCTCCCATGTCCTGACCCTTAGCAGCCTCAGGAGACAGTGAATGACTCCCAGCCAGAGGTCACATGCTTGGGAAAGACACTGGGTAGCCTCCCAAGAGCCTATGGGTGGCAGACCACCACTTCTTGCTCTGGATCTCTGCACCCCATCCCAGCTCGTCCAATCCCAGATGGGGCAGCCCTATGGGAGATGTGGGGCCCTGACCCAGAGTCAGGAAGTCCAAGTGCTGCCCCCATACTCTTCCACCTGGAAGCCCTGTGACTTTAGGTAGTTCTCAGATTCTCTACTGTCCTCCCAGCACTGGGCTGTAAGGGGAGGACCTGGCCTCTGAACCACATGATGTGGAAATGAATGGGCTCAGAGGGTTTCTTGGCCAGGGGAGAGAGGCTAGGAAAGAAATGGGACTCTGGGTCCCTGTCTGGGCAGGTGAATGAGGCCTGATCTCTCCTAGGAATACTTGTATGCCTGGGTGCCTTTTGAGAAATGCTCCTCAAAACCTGGTGCCCTCTAGCTTGCCCATCAGCCCACACACAGCCTCATCGACCTGCTCTGCTCTCTCTTGACTCCCTACAAGGTCAAGGGGAAGCCCAAGAAGGGCTACAGAATGTATCTGTTCCAGAATAAGGGGGCCTCACCAAGGACCAGTATCCCTAGGCCACACAATCCCTAGTCCTAGTAATTTGAGAGACACAGGTGATTACCTGACCAGACAGTGGATCTAAGAGAACCAAGTCACAGATTCCCTGACCCAACCCTCTTATCATCTGGGTCCAGAGGAGTCAATGACTTGCCTGAGGTGACATAGCTGTACCAGGCCTGCAGGCGTCCAGCTAGAGCCCTATCCACTTCACCCACATCTCCTGAGGAGGAGGGCATTTTCCCCCCATGGAATGGGTAGGCCAGGCTGGGAGCTGGAGCAGTGGTCTGGGATGTGAGGACAATCAAGGAGGCCAGCAGGAGACCTCTGCACGCGTGGCCCCACCTACCAAGCCTCCCAGGAGACACCAGTATGGAAGAGGAAGGCCTCTGAGGACAATAATCATGAGGTCCCAGCGCCCTCTGGAGGAAGTCTTGGGCAAGACAGGTGCCCTAAACCCCACCCTAATACCCATTCTGCTCTGTCCTGGTGGCACACCTACCTCGGTTTCCGGGCGAGGGATGAATACTGGGGGGGCCATCTTCAGAGTGAGCCCTTGAAAGTCCCACTCCCCAAGGATGTACTGCACAGGCATCCTGCAGAGGAGGCAGCTACGTGACATCAGTGCCAGAGCCTGGACCAACAGGACCATGACTGATTTGAGGGATACCACTTGTGGGATACCAAAAGTATCAGGGTCGTGCCTCATGTGCCTCAGGACTGAGCCAAGGCCTCCCCTCCCTTCCTTTCTTTCTAGTCGCCTGATTCCTCTCTCATCAATCCCTCAGACCAACACCTTTCTAGTCCTTGGACGCTTTCCTCTTCCCTGACCATGAACTAGTTGGGCTGGGGGAAAACCAGACACCTGTTCCCCATGCAGAACCCTCAGGTCTGGCCCGTGGGTGCTCACCTTTGCAATCGACAGCTACTCAGCTTCTGGACATGCTGTAGCTGCCAAGGGGTCAGGGGCTGGGTCCGAAGTACTGGCCTCAGGCTCTGAAACTGCCCCACAGAGAATGTGAGTGGCTGCCTACCCTGGCCCAGGTGTAGGTGGGCAATGCTTGTGGCCCCAACACTGACCACCTTGATCATCCCTGGATCCCTACTGCCTGGCACACACTGTAATACTTAGCTGGATGAATAAATAAGTATCTAAGACATCCCTTCAGAAAAAACCCATCACTCTTAGCTTAGCATTCTCAGTGTGGCAGTAAAGCCTGGATGTTCTTCCCTAAGGTTTTCCCTCCCTTATCTTCTGCCCTCTTAGCAACACTGCACTTAACTGTTTTGGCTCCAAGGACATGAGCAACGATGTACTCACTGGATGCCTGGGCCTCAGGAATGCCCCTCTTCTCAAAGACTGCAGTCCAGTGGCTGACCAGCTCTGTGGCACTCAACAACCCAGCCAGGGGCAGACAGGGTTGCCATGAGCTGAAGGCCCAGTCCCTGGTGCCTCCCCTCCTCCCCAGGCCAGACAGGAGGGCCCAGAGCATTCGGCCCCCAATCTCCATGTCTCAGGGAAAGGCTCTCCTGAGTGCTCCCAGGTCCCTAAGTCTTCCTCGTGTCAGCCACCAAAGATGGCCACTGGCTCTGGCTCCTCAAGGTGGCTCTGATCTAGATGTGACTGCCAACCTGGAAGAGAAAAAGAGAACCAGGAGAGCAGCTGAACCTTGTGTGACCCACTCTTCGCTGACCTGCTGCCTGAGAGAGGGCATGCTCTTGCTCTGCTACCTCCTTGACTCCATTTTAGACCCTCACCCACCTATTTGATTCTTCTTGTCTTGACCAATTGTTTTCATCACGTTTTTAGCTGAAGTGGGCTGAACCCAGAGCTGAGTCCCTGGTGATGGGTCGGGGCTCAGGTTTGAGGGTTGAACAGATCTGCTCCATCTAGTGTGTGTTACTTGGGAAAGTCATTATTTCTAAGTTTCAGTGTCCTCCATAAAATGTCCACGCGAACAGTGCAGTAGACAATGAATATCAAGGGCCTGAGAGTCAGCTCAACACACAGGAGGGATTCAATGTTACATGCTCTTAACTAATATTGCAAGAGAAGAGACTGCCTTTGCTTGGGAACTTTACTTTGCTTTTGACATTTTACATGTATTTGACTGATTTGTATGCTAAAATTCTCTGCCCCTCCTGCCTACCCCCCCAGCCCCCATTTAACCCATAATCCTAAACATCAGCATAAATTCCCAGGTTAAAAAAAAAATGACAATTACTTGTTAACTTCATACTTCAGTCATCACAAACAAGATTTAACAGAAGTTTTAAAATTAGTGGTCCCCTAAGGTCCACTGTCGCAGGGACTAAGGTCCAAACTAGCATATACTGAGCACTTTCAGAGACAAGCTGGGAGGGAAAGCGACTTGCCTAAAATAGCCTCGCTGGAACTGTCCAGGCAGGACACAAACCCACGTCCTCCGGACTCCAGAGGCAGCTCTGTCCACCTGAGCGTTGCCCCAGGAGGAGCCAAGGCCTGAAGTCTGGGACGCAGCTTCCCTCTCAGCTCTGCAAGGCATCGTTAATGACCCAGGCGAGGTCGCCTCTCCCCAGGCCTGTTTCCTCATCTATATAACGCGGAGTGAGGGGGTCTCGAGAGTGCTGCAGTTCAGGGGCACCCGTCCCGGTTCCCATTTCTAGCACATACCGGCCTGAAGAATTACCCCGCCCGCCCGTCGGGATGAAGACACCACCGGGGCATGGACCCCGGATATGCAAGACCGCGGTGAGTGCCCTCGGATGACCTGCTTCCGGGGTCGGTGCGTCTGAGAAAGGACTCGGGCGGACCCAGTCGCCCAGTTCCAGAGTTCCTAGTGTTACTGGGCTCCACGCGGGAAGCCCCTTGCGGGCTGTTGTAGCCCGTAACACAGGTTACGCCCGTAGCCCACGGGCGGGAGAGTGCGTGGATATGTGGGAGGTTGCCCTCTGGGAGCTAGGTCCCGCCATTCTTCACGGAGGGGACATGGCCCCAGCCCGCGGGGACTACTACGAGCTAGTGTTTCGGTACCCGGCCGCGGTGGTATGCTGTCAGCCCCAATGGGGGCGTGCCAGCAGTCAGCCAGGGTTTGAGAATTGGAGCGCGACGTCCAGGGGCGTGGTCTAGCCTAGCCTCTGCGCAGGCCAAGCAGCACTTGGACGGATTCCTGTACTGGGGGGCGGTAGCAGTTTGAGGGCGGGACCCAGTGTTCAGGACCTGGCGGAGAAAGTAGTCCGAGCCGGGCTGGGGGCCAGAGGCCACTAGACCCCAGGGCCGCTTTTGACCCTCTTGCTCCCAGGTTTTAGGATTTGGACGCTGGAGACCCGGGTTTGAATTCTAACAGTTGGCGGCTCACTCTATGGGCCTCAGTTGCTCCTTTGACAAAACTCATGGCAGTGTCCCACAAAGTGTGACCTGCTGACGCCCTCCCACCAACCACCAGGATCTATTGTTAACTAGATCACTGTTTACGATTATTAAACATGAAGTTTCCTGGGCTCGGTCCCAGACCCGTGGTCCTCATAAACTCCCCTTGTAAACCCGAAGATTAGAAGGTATCCGAGGGTACCTCCCCTGAGATGATCGCGCTGTGGAGGGAGGCTATTATGAGGGGTATATGTAGGATTGTGTCAGGATTCCCAATAACAATACCAATCTAATAATACCATTCTGCTTCCAACTTCTCTGAACTCAGCTACCTCATTTCTAGCCTGGGGTGGGTGTTTACCCAAGAGCCCTCTCGGTAGAGCTCATCTGAGCAGGAAGCCGAGCCCCAGGGAGGGGAAACATCTTGCTCTAGGTCACAAAGCCATGGAGGGGCGAGCCAGAGTTCAACGGAGGTCCCAGGACTCCCAATCCAGTGCTCTCCCCCAGCCTCCAGCTTCTGTCTGCATTTTGGAAGCACGCGTCTATCTCAGAGGAGGTGGAGCTCGGCCTGAGTTTTAGTGCAGTAAGAGCTTGGCCATCCAAGGCCCTCGACCCTACTTCAGCAAAGGCCATGGGGAGTGAGGGGTGGTCTGCAAGAACCGACACCCAGTGTCCGGCTCCTTCTGGGGGCGGAGCCAGGTCCGAGCGACAGGCGATCAGGCCAGTGCCGGGCGGGCTCTGGACCTGACAGCCAATCGGGAACCAGGGGCGCTGAGCGGGCAGGGAAGGGAGGCACTGGAGCGTGGGGGACCCGTGGGGCTACTCGCCTCGGCCCCACCCCCGCGGTGGGTCCAGGCCCTGCCTGTCCCGGCCCAAGCTGCCTGAGCCGGCACTCGCGGCTGCCGGCGGTGCGCTGTAGCCCGCCCCGCCCGCGGCTCCGAGCGCACTGGGAGGGCGGACCTGGGGTCCGACCCGCAGCCCCTGGCCCTGGCCTCCTGTCGATCGCCACCACCCCTAGCCTCTCCAGCTGAGCTCGGCGTCCCAGAGAGGATTAAGTAAGTGCTGAGGTCGCAGCTTTTGCGCAAGAATGGAGGAATCACCGAGTCGCAGAGCGGGGATGGGGATTGGAGCAGGGAGGACGGAGGAACCTGGTAGAGAATGGTATGCGGGTTCTCGGAGGTCGCGGTGCCAACGCATTTCACCCGATTCCTTCTCTTGCCCTTTGGACCTTCAGGCAGTCCCATACAGTGATGGGCAGGGCATTTTCTCTGCTTTGGATTGAGGAGTAAACAGAGCCCAGAGCAAGAGTTAAGGGTCTGGCCCAAGGTCATGTCTGGGGTCAGAGGCAGAGCCAAGAACGAACCTGGGACTGCTGACGCGTTCAGTGAAGCTGGAGGGAGAGGGAAGAGAGGGATGAGCCCCCATATGTCTCTGCCAACCTTACCCCTTCCTAAGGATCCATCATTAGTGTGTACACTCCGTACACACACACATGCACGCACACACACTCACACGGGTGGTCAGTGTTTAGATTTTAGGGAAATCTGTGTGGCCTGCACAAGGAGGCACCCCACATACACCCATGAGCTAGGACAGGAAGGTACGTGTGCAGCCATGGGCTGTGTATCTCCCCCTTCTCCCTAGGTCTGCCCTTCTGCAGCTTGGCTGGGACCCCTTCCCACTTACCCGTACCCTTACCCTTACCCTTACCCTTACCCTTACCCAGCACCCTCTGGCCTGGGAAGACCTAAGCCACACCCTGTCCTGGGCACACCTCCCACCCTCTCCTCCCAAGGGAGGAGGGAGGGGACAAGAAGCACCTCGGAGTGGGAGCTCCATCCCTTCATCTGAAGATACGCTCCCTGCTCACCTTGTTTTTCCTTGTCCCTGGCAGCTCCTAGCTCTCCCATGGAGGTCCATTGACCCTAAAGGCCTTCAGAGAAGTTGTGCTAGAGGACCTGACCTTAGCCTCTCTCCCCTTCCTGCCTTCTGGACTCTCCATACCTGCCCCGCCCCACTGCAAACACAGCCTGGATCACACAATGGGCTGGGTCCAGGGGCTTCTGTGGCTCCCCTTTCCCAAGTGTGCTGGCCATTGGTGAAGGTCTATATATTGGGTGCTGACTGTGGGCAGGGGTTGCACTGAGCTAAGTCTTTTCTAGGGACCAGTTCATGCTGCCATTTTAATGACCCTGTGAGGGAGGTGGGGTTTTGTTTTTGTTTTTTGTTTTTGTTTCTGTTTTATCTCAGACTCAGGAGAACTGAGACATAGAAGTGGAGTGACATGCCTAGAGTCATCTGACTCTTGGGCAAGTGTTTCCCTCCAGGAAAGGAAAAAGCTGCAGTATTTTTTTTTCTTCAAGCAGGAGGTGAGGGATATGGGGGGGCACGGAGTGAGGAGATGGGAAATGCAGGTAGTAGGGGTGGAAAGGTGGCTATTACTCAGAGGAGAGACTTTTTCTTTCAAACCTCCCCATCACCTTTCTCATCTTCCAAGTATGATCACTATGGTTATCATACCCTTGAAGAAGGGGCAAGGTGTTATTTTCACCTTCCTAAATCCACATGGGAACTGTACATAAGTAAAGCACATGTCCTGATGTCCCTTGAACTTGCTTTTGCCCTCAAACTTGTATTTCCCCAGTACCTTCAGAACTTAGGAGTACTTAATGTTACCACTGAGTCCTGTCCTAAGCCTCATGTTTTTTATTCTTTCTTTTCTAGCACCCAAGGAGGAGCCAGGGAGCTCCCTTTATCCAAGGAGGTGGCAACCTGCAAGTATAGTGGGGGGCCACAGGCTGGGACACTACTGATGTCAGAATCAAGTTGGCGGGTTGGCTGACCACAAGCAGTGTCTCAGCCAAGGCCCTCTCAGCATCAGCATGAACTCCAGGATCCCATCTGCTAGGGGCTGGTTCAGCAGCCACCCACCTACCTCTGAGCCTGACCTGGAGGCTACCACAGATGGGCCAGCTTCTGAGACCACTACCCTCAGCACAGAAGCTACCAGCTTTAATGACACTAGAATCTCTGATGTGGCTGGTGGCACAGCTGGTGTGGGCACAATGCTTCTGTCCTTTGGGATCATCACAGTGATTGGTCTGGCTGTGGCCATGGTAAGAGCTGGCAGGCTGGGGCTCACTCAGGTGGCTGTCAATCGGAGGCGGGTGGTCAGTGTTTAGATTTTAGGGAATCTAATCAGAAGATGATTATCTGTTAATGATAGCACAATCTTCCCCTTCTCCAGGGATTTGTCCACTGGAGACCCAGAGACCAGAGAGGCTGCCACCAATTGGAAGAACCAGAGAAGGTTCTCAGGATACATGGGGTCTTAAGCTGGGCCATGGGGGCCACGTAGGAGTTGGAGAAGAGGTTGTTCCAGGTGGAGGGTCCTGATGGGCAAAAGTTTGGAGGCAGGGAGGAGGTTTGAGCAGCAAGCAGAACAATGAGGCAAGTGGGAGGAGGGGTACAATAGGAGTAGAGGCCAGAAGGCCATGGGAAGAGATCCTGGGCTGCAGAGTAGGGGTGGGATGCTCCAGGCATGGCAGGCTGCTGGCCGCGTTCATTCACTTAGCAGTTATTTACTGGGCATCTGCCCTGGACCAAGCCTTCAAGTCTCCAGACACTCAGGAGACAAGGTCCTGCCCTATGGTTCTTCAGGGGACTAGGAGACAGGTAAACCAAGGATGCCAAAGCCAGCCCAGAGGGACTGAGCTGGGGAGTTGGGCAGGAGGACTTTCTAGGTTAGGTGGTCAGGGACACCTGAGGAGGCAACATTACAGCTGAGACCCCAAGGTGGAGGCCTGGCCCCAGTATCACAAGAAGGGGCAGAACTGGGCAGACATCAGGACTGAGGTGAACTGGGGTAAGAATTGAAGGTGTTCCTGATAGTGGATATGTTTCAAGATCTGGTGTCTGTCCCTGCAGATATGGGCCCTCCCCCTGATATGCTACATGGACACTCAGAATGTCACTGAGGGACTGCTGGAGACTGTGTTGGTTAAGACCAGGAAGAGTGGGGGTGCAGCTCTAGTCCCCCAGGTTGGCTGACATCCTGGCCACTGCCCCACGCAGGCTCTGATGGCTAGCCTTAGGCTCAGGAACATGTTGCTCTGGCTAATTAGGGCTGTGGATGGTCCATCCATGACCTGGCTGGAGCTGCTGTTAAACCAACGTTGCCATATGGGCCCTGTAGGCTCCAGATCGCTGCCAGGGAACAACTGCTGGCCAGCAAGCAGGGCCAGGATGCAACACACAGAGTGAGCAGGCTCCTGGGGCAGGGGCGAGGCAGAGTGCCAGTGTTTCCCCATGGCACCCATGTGGCCGTTAAATAAACTGAAACAATCTTACCTCAGAGAAAATATAGGATCTGGAATCTGCCCTTTTGACTCTAGGCAAAAGATTTTGACCCAGGAATTTTGGAGGACTCCCTTACACTTCATTGTGGAGGAATGTTCAGATGGCCAGGAAAAAGGGCCTTCTTGCCCAAACCAGAGAGGTAGGAAGATTGTGGGACAAAGGCAGTGGAGGGCAGGAAACAGCTCGTGGGCACTAGCGAACAGGTTCAGAAGTGCTCCCTGAGTGCTGCTTCCTCTCCTCTCTTGTCAGCAGGGCCAGCTGGGTATGGGGAGGGGCAAATTGTGCCGGGTTGTGTGCCTCACACAAGAGTGTTATGGGCAGGCTTCCTGCAGGAAGCAACACTGCACCTGGATGGTGAGGAGTGGGGAAGATTTGGAAAGGAAGGTATGTGGGAGGGTGGTGTCAGTAGATGGGGCAGAAGGAACAGCAGGGCCAAGGCATGGAGATCGGATAAGGGTTCTGGTATCTCGTGAAGACCTGTCTGTAGGACAGGGCCCAGGACAGAGAGGAGGGTTTGGGGCAAGACCAGAGCAGAGGGAGGAGAGGGAGGAGAGGGAGGAGAGGGAGGAGAGGGAGGAGAGGAAGTCCAGGTCCTGGGGCTAAAGCTGCTGGTTCAGGGCAGATAGGGGCTGGGCCTGAGACCTGGAGCTCCCCTGGCATCCTTCCGACAGGACAGCAAGGGTATCATCCACATGTGACCCCTGAAGGGATGGGAAGCAAGGGGCACATCAGTTTCTTTTCAGGCCTTTGGGGTTTCTGAGGAAACAAGCAGCAAGAGGAACTCTGGGTCAGGCTGGAAACCCAACTAGATTCGGGCTGTGAATGAGGCACAAAGGATGTGAGAGCCACAGAGGGTTTGGGACAGACCCTAGAGACATGGCTTTCCCCATGGTAGAAATGACCATTCTCTTGGCAGCCAGAAACCACCAGTTTAGGGAACAGTCAGGTGGTGGCAGAGGTCCCTGGAGTCCCTGCCTTGGTGGCCAGCCCTTCTTCCCCCTCTCAGTGCTTTGTATCAGGATGTTCTGCTCCCTCCCAGAGTTCTTAGGTCTTGCATGTTTCCTCAGGCTGCCTAGGCCTTTATCTTTGAATCTGTACAATGGGGGTTAGGACCCAAGAGCTTTCCTACATTCCTCCAGCATCTGAGCTCTGGGGTTTAGTCTGGGCTGCTATTCAGGGGCTCATGCTCTTCTCCCCAGGCCATGTTCACTGAAGGCCATCAGCCTCCCATGAAAACCTCAGAAGCCCAGCCCAGAGCCTTGCCTGGAGCCACTCCCCTGCAGAGTCTGGCCACTACCTGTCCCCTGTTCTTTTTGCCCATCCATGGCTCTGTACTCCCTGGGGGGAGTTGAGAGGAGGAGGTATGCTGAAATCTTCCCTCCCCCTTCAGCCCTGAGGAGTCCGAGGCAGGTGCTGAGTGGCTGGAACTGCAGTCTGTACTGGCAGAGATAGGGTCCTCCTGTCTGCAGGCCAGGTCTGCCTGTGTGGTTCTCCCAGGCTGGGCTCCTCGAGCATGAACCTGCTCCCCATCTCGAAGCCCAGGCACTGTCAGCAGCTGATAAATGTCAAAAGGAGGCACAGATGTAAGATGTATGTGTCCCTGGGAGGGAATACCCTGAGGACATGGGGATCCACAGTTCTCCCCATCATCAGCCTCAGGATGTACCCTGTCCCAAGGGACTGCTGGCTAATCCATTCCCAGCCATTTGATGCTGCTCCTTCTCTTGCAGGTTTTATACATCAGGAAGAAGAAGAGGTAACTCCCCAGTTACCACCCAAAACTCCAGCCTGTTGGCAGTGTTGGGTTGGACTCTAGAAGACGTGGGTGGGAAAAGAGAGTCCCAGCAACATTGGGACCCCTCTCCCTGGTCAAGGAATCAGGTCCTCTTCTGCCCACTCGTAGTTGGGGATGAATACTTTCCCTCCGGGAGCGCTGAGCCACCCTTGTCCCAATGCCCTGAGCTCCAGGTCACTGACTCCCCTTCCCTGCCTGGCCTCCAGAGGCTGTGGACCACCCAAGGCCCTGGCCTAGGCAGTCCCATGGACCCCACAGATGATGCCTCCATGGTCATGGCCCCATCTGGTCCCAGGAGTGGGTAACTATCTATCTGAGGGGTGGTACTGCAGGTATAAAAATAGCTTTCATTCAATCCCAGAGGGAATCTTGGGTCCCCTAAACATAGTTGCGTGCTATGGCTCAGCCAGGCATCAGGCAGAGCCCGAAGGGCTGGGGGGAGGGGAAGGGCCTGCCATGCCCCCAGCAGCCTTCCCCTTACCCCCAGGCTGGAGAAGCTCCGCCACCAGCTAATGCCCATGTACAACTTCGACCCTACGGAGGAACAAGATGAACTGGAGCAAGAGCTGCTGGAGCACGGGCGGGACGCTGCCTCCATGCAGGCTGCTGCCTCTGTGCAGGCCATGCAGGGCAAGGTGGGCACTAACCAGGCTCCCCACCCAGCCTGCAGGCTGCTCATGAGACCTCTGCCCCCACCCTCCCTCCTTGCTCATGCAGCTTTCCAGCACCTGCCATGTGGTCAGGTGGCAGCTATCGGGTATATGGGTTTTGTCAGGTTTGTTTAGAAACTGGCCAAGTTTCCCTGTGGCCACCTATAAACTGACTGCACAAGGCCAGGGCAGCCCTGGGATCCAGCCTGGCTCTGCCCCTGCTAGCTTAGTGATCTTGGCAGCCCCCTTGGCCTCTCTGATCCTCTGCTTTCTTGTCTGCAAATGAAATCCCCAATTCTTGCCCTCTGTGTCCCCACATCTTGGCTAGGAAAGCAGGAGAGGACTGATGGAAGAGATTATTGGAAACAGGGAGGCTGGTGCCTCTGCCCCCCTGAGGGCCCTGGTCCTGAGCGGGTCATGGTTGGGGTCAGATTCTGGAACAGGGCACCTCCGAGTACACTAGGGGATTCCTAGTAACTGACAAACCCCTGGTGGGTAGAGACCCCAGCCAAACTTGCTTCCTATGTCCAAAGGGTTAGGTATCTGTGTGGTCACCCTGTCAGAGCCACTGGGCTGCCTGGCCACTTGCTACTAGTCCCTAAAATCCCCAAGGGCCAGAGCAACATGACGAGGGCTGGTCTCTCCCTGACCCATGAAACCCCTTTGCATTTCTCCTTGCCTTGACCCCGCAGGTTGCTGGGGGAGAGGTGCTGGCCCTGCCAGAGGGAGAATTAGGAGACTGGACTCAGGAAGAGTCCAGACTGGGAGTCCAGAGAACTCCTGGTTTTGCCGCCAGTTCTGTGGCAACTGATCAGGACACATTCCCCACTTGGGATATTTGGGAAATCAGGCTGAGAACCTTGGTCCACCCAGCCCATAGAACTACTGACAATTTGACAGTTGTTTCCTGTGCACCTCCCTGCCTCCCTTGGTCCGGCCCCTGTGTTAGGGCTAGGGGGATACAGAGGTAAGCCCCTTCTGCTGGGAGAGAGTGGTGCATGCATAATTAACCCAGCCTCTGGGCCCACAGGGTAAATGCATGCTGGCCAGTCGGTGATGGCTGTGGGGGGGGGAGGGGCCATCAGAGCCAGATGGTATATCCAGGCTGAACTTAGAATTCCAAATGGAAGGCATAGCTGGTGCCAAGTGAAAACAGGCAAACCCAGAAGCAAGGGTGGAGGTGGGCCAGAGACTGAATGGCCTTGGTCAAGGTCCCTGATGCCCCTGTCTCTCTGCAGACCACTCTCCCCTCTCAGGGCCCACTGCAGAGGCCCAGCCGGCTGGTGTTCACCGACGTAGCCAATGCCATCCATGCGTGAGTGGCCTGGGGACAGGCCTGGACTTCTGATGAAGACACCTGCCACAGTGCCCATTGAGCTGCCCACTCTGTGATTGTTAAGATCTACTCTCAGGACCTGCCCTGCCAAGGCCCAGCTATTCCCAGGACCCACCTGCTGACTCTCCAGGCTCTAAGAGAGGCCCTGGCCAGGCTGGACATCTGGCTACTGATGTCCCCTGATCTGAGGGCCCTGGCATGGAGGGCATCCCTCATGTCAGGAAGGTTGAGAGCCATGCTAGCTTCCTTGTGTCCTCCCCAGACCCCTCACATCATGGTCTGCTCCTCTAATGTGGAGGAAGTGGGGGGAGACATGGGATGGGAGGGGAAGGGGGAGGAGAGTAGGGAGGCTTTCCCCTTTGTCAGGGAGAGACCTGTCTTCAGAATCTGGAGCCTCCTCTGGAGTGGAGAGAGGCAACAACCAGGTCGCCCCAGGAGAAGCCCAGGGATGATGCAAGAACTGCCAGGTGGGCAAGGATGCCAGGAAGAGGGCTGCTCCTGCCCAAGGCCCATCTGTATTTTAGAGGATCGGTGAGGCCTCCCAGCCACCCTTCCTGGCAGCCAGCTGTTGGCTGGGAAAGAGGAAAGGAGGTAGGGGAATGGGTATAGAGGAACACAGTGCCGGGACGTGCTGAAAAGCCTCAGGCATGTGTGCAAATGTGCCCAAATGCAGGCATGTGCGTGTCCCAGCGCAGAGTAGGATGGAGACCTTTTGCATGGGCCCCCCCCCCTCCAAGTCCACCCCACCCCTTGATGTGCATGGGAGCATCAGAATAGGCCACCTTCTCTGCCTTCAGTGTTCAGGACTGAAGGAAGAGGAAAGCCAAGGTGAAGGTCCTGCTGCCCATCTCATCTCTTCACTGGGCTCTACAAGCCAGGTAACCTGCTTCTGAAAACGGTTTCCTGTCCTGGTGTATATTGGGGATCTAGGGCTGTGGGAGAGGCTACTGGCCTGAGGGCAGTGGTCACAGGCTGTGGGCTATCTGGGGACATTCTTGCTGCCTGAAATGGGGTGGGGATAGCCCCATGGGAAACAGACTTATTTTTTGAAAGCATAGACCACCCACCCATTGTCCACCCACCCCACACCCCTCAGGAATTCTTCTACCAGTCTGGGCATGTGGGCAAGGCATGGGGCCAAGCCAGACCCTAGGAGCTGGGCAGTTGTTTACTCTGGGCATGCATGCGCACATGAGCATGCACAGAAGCATGCCCCCGTGCCCAGCCTCGTCACCATTGCTGTCCTCCGCTGGCTGGAGGGGATGCGGGGGCAGCAGCACAGACCTTCTGTCAGGCAAATATCACATGTCAGGATGTGAGGGCCAAGGAGGCCCGTGTGGGGAAGATTTGGGATGTATTCCCTCCTCTAGATGCTATAAATACATTAGCACTTGAACCAACTGGAGGGCTGTGTGTAATTTAGGATGCACAGACGCTGTAATTTAACTCACAGCATCTCCATGTGAGAGCATTAAAGATGTAATTAAGATGTTTACACAAAAAGAGTGTGAGTCTGTGACACTTGGGGTGTGAAACCCCAGGAGGGAGGGACAGGATGGGTGAGGGGTTGTGTGGGGGCCTGGCGTAGTCACTTAGATCCCAGCTATGAGCTGGCAGCCTCATTGGTTTTCCTTGAAATATCTGATGAAATGCCTCTGGCCCTGAGTTCAAGCTGCTGTGGGGCCTCATGTCTCAACTCTGGAATGGAGTCACAATGCCTACCGTCCCCTTGGGTGGAGAGGCTAAGTGGACAGGACCTTGTGGGACCTGAGGAAGGAGGGAGCTTAAGCCCCAAAGTCTAGGGGGAGGTGTGGTGCCTCAGGATCCATAAGAACTGGGTCTGAAACACAAAAGAGAACACAATAATGTGGCCTTTCCCAGATCACAAGGGTGCAGGGGGTAGGTGGGGTTGGGAAGCCTTAAGGTCATTTGCGTGGAAATCACCTACAGGGTTCAGAGGAGTTTGGGAAGAATGACACCAGGGTGACCAACTGTCCTGGTTTTCTCAGGACTGCCCAATTTTAGCATTGAAAATCCCACAAACCAGGACTCTAAATGACATCCAGATCCTCCCCTAAAAAGCTGAGCCTTCAGGTCAGCATAGGAAACAAGGACAGGGTGAGCACCTGTTCCATGGTGGAGGGCTGGGCTGCAAGCCAGGGTTGCAGGACAGGGCCCTGGGTAAATGTGATGCTCCAAGCATTCCACAGGCCACCCTCACTGGGGTCAGACAGATGGGCCTGTCAGTGACGATCCTAGTCTTGTGGACTAGCAGAAGGATTCCTAAGGGTAATGGGGTGAGAAGAGAGGGGTCGATGGGCTGTATGCCCCCATCCTATCGGGTAACCCCTCAAACCAAAAATGTGGGGGCTACAGAAAACTTGGTGTCTGAGGGACCCTAAAAGAATGAGGCCTATGGAGTAAGGCTAGCACCTAGGGAGTAGGGCCAAGACGGAGGCTCCAGGAGGACCCTGTCCCCCATCTCTCCTGCTGCCTGTCCCATGCCCTTTTCCATGGGTGAGCCCAGGTAGGTGGACGGTGCAACTTTTTGAGGGTGATGGAGCCACTGCCTCATCCCTGTCCCTTTGCAGATACCTCCTACCCACCTTCTATTTGCTAGCTCTCTCTCTCCCAATCCTGGAGGAGACCCGAACTGCCTGCACATTCTCAGGCCTTCCACAGAGCATGGGATCAATAAATATCAGGATGAAAGGATTCAGATGATGTGTCCTTGTGACCATGGGCTTGGCGGGCTGACCAGAACTCTCCTCACTGCCCTCAGCCAGGCCAACGGGATGAGAAAGCCAGCTTGCCTGCCCTTACTGCTCCTGAAATTGTCTGTTAAAGGAGGTCCTTTGGAAAAGCCCCTGCTAGACACACACACATCGATAAGTGAAACCTCTATAAATGAATAGCAACCAGGGCTTTGGGGCAAAAGCTGCAGCATGGACATGGATGGGCACCTTCAGAGGAAGCCATCTTGTTTAATGAAGTGAAGTGTCAACTTCCAGCCAAAGTGTATACAGTAACCTCATTGCCTGGCTGCAGGGATACCTTCAGAATGTAAAGGTGGTTCTTGTGGAGGTAAGCCCAGAAACCAGTAGAGCAGTCTAAACTTGCTATGGATTCCTTCCAGAAACATTACTGAGCCCAGCACTGTGGTCCTATCAGTGGACCAGCTCCATTGGTTGGTATCTGCACCTTCATTTGAGATGGGAGGGGGAGGCAGGTGCCAAATAGGAAAGAAGGATGATTGTGTGTGTGTATGATGTGTATATACACACACACTATGTCTATATATCTTCATATCTACATCTATATGCAAAAGAAGGCAGGGATAAGGTCCAGGTGTGCCTGGGGGCATTCAGAGGCTGAGGGCAGATAAGCCCACCCTATCCTGTGCAGCTGCACCACTCAGCAGTCCTCAGTGTGGAGCATGTTGGCTGAGGGTATCCAAAGGGACCCCAGGAGCCTCTGGTGTGGCACCCCATCCAGCCTGGCCTCTGTGGGCTCAGGACAGGGGGAACTGCAAGCAGAGGTATCTACGGTTGTACAGAGGCCTCTTTTGAAAAGTCAGTGAAGCTGAGAAATGAACAAGAAGTACATAAGCAGAAGGTGCAGGGAGAGGAGGGGAAAGGGAGAATGTGGAGACCCTCAGGTACAGTGGAGAGGGGGTGAGGCTGGGATGCTGTCCCACCTGTACCAGGGCCTGCCCTCTCTCACCCCTACCTCAGAACCCCTTGGCAGTGGTCCTCACCCCCACTCATCATGCTGGCCTCTTGGATTCTGCAAGTGGAAGATCAGGGTAGGTGTCTGTTCTCCCCATGGGGAGACCACCTCCACACACCTGCCGGACCTAGAGGAAAGTCAGCAGGCATGGGAGGGGGGGCAGGAACAAGAAGTAGGGATGGTCTCCTCCACCACAGAGGAAACCCAGGGTCTAGAGGCTCAGCCCAGGAGGGCATTTGTGTGGGGAGCAGAGAGGTAGGTAGGGCTGAGACCTGTCTGGGAAGGGAGTTCCTTTTCCCAGCCTCTGGCTGGAGGAACACAATCTGGGTCAGAACATCAATCTGGGAAGAATCTCCCTTCATCCCAAGCAGGATTTCCCCTCGGCTTTGGAGAGTCCATTTCTTTCTCACAGCTCAGCTTGAAAGGTAACTCTCTGGGTGCCTGGATGGATCTATGAATGTGAGAGGCCCAGGATTCCTGTGTGGGCTGGTGGTTTGAGGAAGGAGGGAGGACCAGAGTGTCTCTCACTAGGGACTAGCATTCATCATGTTTGATGCTCACAAATGGCTGGGCAAGGAGGGTTTTGTCACTCCCATTTCATATGTGAGGACCTTGCAACTGAGCAATCAGAGGCAAGCAGCCCAGGGCTCCGTGTACAGCCGGTGAGCACATCAGAGCCTAGATTCGAATTTGGTACAGCCTGGGGCCAGGGCCCACAACCCAAGTGGCCCTGGCAGCCCTTGACATGGAGTCTCTCAGGACACAAATCTGCCTGAACCCACCAGGGTGGCCCAAGATGCTCCAAGCCCCCACCTTCCTGGTCTCTTTAGCCTGGCAGGAGGCTGGGCATGCCCCAGACCTCTTACACAGAGGAAACTCAGGAGAAAGGGCCACAGATTCATCCCAGCTTTCATAGGTGAGGGCTAGGACTGGGTCACTTCTGAGGCTTCATGGCAGCCTGGATCCTAGCCCCATATCATCCAGGAGTACGTGTGTGGTATTGCATGGGAGGATCCATGGCCTTGTCTGCTAGCCCTCTGTTCTGATACATTGTCACTAGATGTCAGCTCTCCCACCCGGGGCTGCCCAGTCCCACAGGCGACTGTTAAGGAGCACCCGGTCTCCCAGTCTCTCAAAAGGCCAGCTCCTGCCTTCGTGGATGGTAGCTTCCTGGATGAAAGTGCTCACTTGCTGGGGTTTCCCCAGGGTCTCCTGACTGAGGCCCAGCCAGTCCGCTCAGCCTCTCCTTTACCTAGCTACAATCTGGGGTCTGGCCTAGGAGAATGTAGGGAGGGGAAAATGGCAGACATACCAGCCATTGGGGCTGGTGGGCCTCCTGTCTTCTACCCACTCGTTGAACAGGGGAGAAAGGATATGTTCACTCTGGCCATTCCCATTTGGCCAGCTTAGTACACTTCCTTTGGAGGCCTGGAGGCCTGGAGGCCTGGGTTAGGAGGGGCAGTCAGCTCTACTTCCTGGGGTGTGACAAGAGATAAAAGGCTTCAGAGTAATAACAATGCCAATAATAATAATAGCAATAATAAACCATAATGATGTGTGATTTATTGAGCTCATGCCATGTGCCAGACCCAGTGGATCACTCATGGAGGGAGGGTCAGGTCAATCTTCACCAGCGCCAGCAGGAGCGCCATTCAGCTCACAGGCACTCATTGCTGGACAATGGCCAGAATCTGGTCCTAGTATCAATTACCCTTGATTGGCACCATCCTGTACAATCTCACTTTATTCCTAGTGTCCGTTGTGAGGGCCTACCGTCATTCATCTTACAGGGGAAGAGATCAGCACCCAGAGACTGAGGTCATCAGGCTCAGAGCCAGGCACTCGGCTTTTCTGCTACACCATTCCAGAAGGAGTCTCAGACAAACCCTAGAAACAGGAAGGTAATAGGGCCTGATGGGGCACCCAGAAGGCACTGCCTACTTGAGTCCCCAGTCTGCCTCCATCTCCAATGCCAGCCTGTACTGCTACCTGCTGGTAGCTGCAGGCACTACAAGGGGACTTCCTGCTTCCAGCCTCAGCCAGGTCACTTGTCTGTTGTCTGGAGCTCAGTGTCCCCCACCCGCCCCAGTTCTCCTCAGGCCCTATCCTTGAATCCCTCCTTGCCCTCAGCCTCTCCTTCATTTGGTATAGAGAGCAGCCCTCAAGTAGCCCTCAAGCTGCCCTCAAGCTGCCCTCAAGCTGCACTCAAGCTGCAAGTCCCATGTCAGAGGTTCATCAGCTGGCGCTGAGACTGGGGTGAGGTGAATGGGGGCCTAGGGTTCCAAATGTAAGGAACCACTCACTCAGGTGGCACGTGCACCAACCTGAGCGTGAGTGCCTCCTTCAATTTGTGCCCTGGGTGCGTCACTCGCCTCATCATAGTCCTGACCCTGCTGCTGAGATACCTCTTGGTCAGCAGGCCAACACTGACCCCCATCTCACCCACACTCCCATGCCAGCAGGTTGGAGGCCTCAGGAGTCCATGCAGCGAGAGGGAGGGCCCCTGCCCTGGCTGGAGCTCATGGAGATGCTCTTCACCGGGAGAAAACTGAGAACACCAGATTATGAAAGATTTAAGGGACTTAGCAGCAGCTCAATAAAGGGTCAATAAGGTGACACTCAATAAGATAAAGCCTGGGGTGAAGGAGGAGGGCAGGGTTCCTGCTGTAAGTCCCTGCAGGTAGGTCAGACCCAGAATCTGTGTGTGAGAACCTCCTGGGACACTCACAGGCAGAATCAGAACCCATAAAATCCCCCAGCCCAAAGTGTGGGCA